TTCCTCTAAAAACATACAACATCCATATAAAAGTCTCAAACCAAACTAACCAGCTAAAAGATGAGTGTTGACTGTAAACAACTGAAATATTTACAAAACAGAAAAAGCAGTATGTACAAGACTGTTAGGGAGTGAACTATTTATCGGTGCCTAATCAGGAGTGCTCGGCAGTTCGGCCGCTGAATTGAACTGAATTTTTGTTGTCAGGTGATTTGATTCGCTGTGCAGTTTGGGATACACTAAACTGACTGACTGGGGCACAAAAATATCCCCTATATTCTGAGATGAAGTCACTTTAGAACTCTGTGCCGCTGTCTCCACTGTAGCTCTAAGCTTGCTCGCTGGGGCTTGGACCCAGATTTTCATCTTTTGTTCAAAAGGATGATCAAACAAACCTTAGGCTCTTCCTCTATAAACCAATTGGGGAATCAATCATTTATATTAGGGTGTTTACAATACACTCGTATCAGTACAATGCACACTAACGTATCCCTACCATGCTGACAGCAAAATCCTCCACCCCAAAAAAATCCTGTCAGCGGTGGTCCTATACTGGTCCCTTTCCACTGGTAGATGGGGCTGAAGACTGCTGTATATCTACAGTGTGCATATATGCTGTGTATACAGTCTAATCTCTATGTGTCAAACACAAGGCCAACGGGCCAAATCAGGCCCGCCACACAATCCTCTCTGGCCTGTGAAAGTATTTTAATTTTCTATTAATATTAGCTCTTTTCACAGTGTGCTGCACTACAGTCCCCAGCATGCACTGCAACGTAATGTGCTCTGACTCTCCTACCCCAACAACAATCTATGGGACAGCAGTTACACCTCAATTCAACTCAATTCTACACAGTTCCACACCAGTCAGATCAGCAAACACACTAACTGCATTTCAGCTGCAGTTCAACCAACATAAACACCAAACGTCAGTTCAGCAGCTCAGAAACTGAGCCCAGGTATTAATGAACTGCAAAGAAAGGATGCCAGGTGTCTAATTAAGCTCCTAAGCTCCTATTTGCACAGGAATCAAATACACAAAAAATTTCAATCTGGTTTTAGGCCACTTCATAGTACAGAAACAGCACTAGTAAAAATTGTAAATGATCTATTATTATTTTCTGACCAAGATCATGTGTCCTTGTTAGTCCTCCTCGATCTTAGTGCAGCATTTGACACAATAGACCACACTGTCTTACTTGACAGACTAGAAAACCTTGTAGGGGTAACAGGAACAGCTCTTTCCTGGTTCCGGTCCTACCTCACTGATCGCTATCAGTTTGTAAATATAAACGGTGAATCATCTGTTCTCACAAAAGTAAAGTATGGTGTTCCGCAAGGCTCTGTTTTAGGACCTGTATTATTCACATTATATATGCTACCACTGGGCACCATTATCAGTAAACACGGCATAAACTTCCACTGTTATGCTGATGACACTCAGTTATATCTAGCAAGCGACCCGGATGATAGAATTAAACTTAGCAAGATTGAAGACTGTATACAAGACATAAAGGACTGGATGTCGAGTAACTTTCTCCTTCTAAACTCAGATAAAACAGAGGTTCTGCTTCTTGGTCCAAAATGAGCTTCAAGCTCATCTGTAAAAAGCCTTGGTGTCATTATAGACCCTGATCTGTCCTTCGACACACATATAACTAATATTACTAGAACAGCCTTCCTGCATCTCCGCAATTTTGCTAAGTTGAGAAATGCATTCTCTCTACAGGATGCAGAAAAGTTAGTTCATGCATTTATTACTTCAAGGCTGGATTACTGTAATGCCCTGCTGTCTGGATGTCCCAGCAAAAGCATTAACAAGCTTCAGCTGGTCCAGAACGCTGCAGCCAGAGTTCTTACTAGAACCAGAAAGTTTGACCATATCAGCCCAGTTTTATCAACCTTACACTGGTTACCAGTAAAATTTCGGATTGATTATAAAATTCTCTTACTGACTTATAAAGCACTAAACGGACTCGCCCCTCAGTACCTGAGTGAACTTCTCTCTCACTATGAACCATCACGCCTACTTAGATCACAAGGTGCTGCTCACTATTAGTACCTAGAATTAATGAAGTTACGTCAGGGGGGAGAGCTTTCTCATACAAAGCCCCCCAGCTTTGGAATAGTCTTCCTGTTAATGTTCGGGACTCAGACTCAGCGTTTAAGTCTAAGCTAAAAACCTACTTGTATAGTCCAGACTTTGGTAATTAGTTTTCCCTGTCAGTTCTATACCTGCCAGAGTCTCTGCTAACACTGTAATTTGTGATCGGTCACCCATTACAGAACTGACTCTCTGTGTGTTTTCCTTTCTTTTCTTCGCTGAGTTGAACAGCTGCCCATCCTGTGCGTCTGATGCTGCTGCCTTTTCTGCCTCGATCGGGTGCCACTGCTCGCCAGCCCTCTGGACCGGGTTACCAACATTGAGCCTCCTGCTGTACAACGCCGTGCAAACCTCACCCTCACAACCCGACCCCACTGATGCTGCTGCTGTTGCTGCATGAACTATTCAAAATTAATCACTTGAACCAATCAGTCATTCAAACTAATTCAAATTAATCAATCACCCATTGTAGAACTGACTGTGTGTTTTCCTCTCTTTCCTTTGCCGAGTTGAACAGCTGCCCATCCTGCTGCTGATGCTCCTGCCTCTGCTGCCTTGATCGGGTGCCACTGCTCACCGTGCAAACCTCACCCCCACAACCTGACCCCACTGATGCTGCTGCCGCTGCTGCAGCATGAACTGAACTATTCAAATTAATTGTTTCCTTCACCTTTACCCTGTTTTTTGTACTATAATACTTTATACTAACAATGTTTACTATCCAGTGTCGACCAGAGGAGGATGGGTTCCCCTTCTGAGTCTTGGTTCCTCTCAAGGTTTCTTCCTGTTTCTCTTAGGGAGTTTTTCCTTGCCACTGTCGCCACTGGCGACGCTCATGGGGGCTCAGACCCGGATTTCTTTCTGTAATGCTCATTTCCTTGTAAAGCTGCTTTGTGACAACACCTGTTGTAAAAAGCGCTATATAAATAAACTTTACTTACTTACTTACTAATTCAAGTAAATAGGTAGGTTTAAAAGACTGAGCTCCTGGGGACGTTTAAATATTGAATATTTCAAGTATTCATGTAATATTTCAAGGTCTGCTACAAGTGTCTGTATCTTACTGCTGAAGTTTTTGCGTATTTTGACTAAACAACGGCCGGTTGGCCATTACAACATTAATTAAAAATGAAATAAAACGTTTTTCCCTCTGGCCCACAGATTGGTTGAGATCTTTTTAATATGGTCTGATCTATATAATCTAGCTGTCTCTTTAAAATGCTAATCAGAATATCTTTCCCCAAAGAATGAAAGTTATGTAATGCATGAAATCGAATGTGAAAAAACCTTAAAGTATAACTAGTTTTACCTAAACTGTAGGGTCAGGAGTGTCATTCGCTCATCTGGTGTAGGATCTCGCTGTATCACCTAATAAACTGACCAGGTATATGGCCAAGTTTGGTTACCTAACTAGCTAGTATTGTTTAATAAAACTCAATAAGGCACACACTAAATGGCTCCGTTAAACACTCTTAAACACTCTTATCGTAACTCATACATCTGGTCTGCGGTGCAGGAACATCGCTGTTATTTCCATGCTGTCTGCACAGAATATACAGATATCTGATGAGTTTTGTCACACTTTGACAAAGATTTATCGCTATAATTGGAAAGAGGTGCCTGTGTGCATTCAAATAACTACCAAATGCAAACGATTAAAGGCTTTTCTGAAATTTTGGGTGTATTGTCTTAAAAAATGACTCAGAATTTAACGGGGTATTTCTTTACCTTCACCGAGTAAAGTTCAGTTGTCATGTCAGACTTAAAAGCTTAAAGCAAAGCAACAGCAGCTCAGAGCAGCAGTGACGCGGGCCAGGTGGCTCTTTGTCACCGTGTGGTGAGGATTTATACGGAGCCCCTAAAGGGTCAAATATTCAGATATGCATGATCCCTGGGGTCAGCAGTAGTTTAGAGGGTTAGAGTGGGGATTCTTTCCGTTTCATTTTAGGAAGTATTATAAATAATATTGTAATATAAGAGTAATATAAAGAATAGCATGTATGAGTGCATTAACATTTATCTTTACAAAAAAGGGGATTACAAAAAAAAGTTAACATCGCGTTCCCTCGCAAATGTTTTACATTATGATTACAAAAAAGGTTTACATTCGCCTGCAAAAGCTGTGCTTTTCTCCAGCTCGGACACGAAGCAGCTCAGCGAATTTTACTTTGATGTAGGACTGAAATATAAAGATGTGTCGCTTCTCTAAATCAAAAAATTCAAACATGGTTATGATATTAGCGCAAACTGGAGCTGAGGTCGAGTTTCCTCGGACAGTGAAAGCCACATTTACAGACTCTGCAGAGAAAAACAGCTGAATAATAATGTTTATACAAAGCACATTCGTAGAAAGTTGCATCTTTTTTATATAACCTGCGTCACTATTATTATTATTATTATTATTATTATTATTATTATTATTATTATTATTATTATTATTATCATCAAAGTGACCACTCACTGATTTTTTTTGTTTTATAGGAAAGGACTCTTATTTTGAAATCATGACACATGAGTCGAGTAAGTGCTGCTCCATCATTTCTGTTTTCGCGTTACTTGCTCCGCTGACCGGAACCGGAGACCCTGCCGTGAGTTTCAGTATCAGTATCAGTCAGGTGGGTCAGAGCTTTTTCTGCTTTAACGCGTTTGGTCATCACAGCCGGACACAGCAAAGTCCAGCAGTCGCATTAAACTGTAACCGTTACTGGAACGAGGGCGTTTAGCGCAGCGCCGAGGGACGAGCAGCAGACAGACAGTCAGACAGACAGGTAAAGAAGACTAACATTAACACACTGTCAGGCTGTGGTCAGCCAGCGGTCAGCCAGTGGTTACTAGTTAATTAGGCTGCCGAGGGCTGTTAACTGTCAGACGGGTCGTGGTGCAGGAAGGTTGGGTGGTTGTTCGAGTGTAGATGAGAAACACTGCAGAGTCATGATGACCGCATTACTGACAGCGGACTGGATCCACTGGGTCCACTGGCTGATGTGACTCTTAGTGGTGCTGATGAGCAGATAAGACGAAGCACTGCGTTATTATTAAGCTCATATGAACTGTGTATGACTTATGTATGTATGATTAACGGCTTCATGAAGCTCAGGAATGAATAACTCGGCTCCACTTTCTTATAAACTTGACTGAACAATGATGGAGGTCCTCTTTCATTTATTCCAGGGTTTCCCACAATGTCTGCCTACGGGATTCCAGAGGAAGTGCTGAGAGATGAGGGCTTAATAAAAAGGCTGGAGGAAGTGGCCAAAGACACTGCGCTGCTGCATGGAGTATTAATGCGGACCAAAGACAGACCAAACTCCCCCGAGGTAAAGGAAACTCAGTGTAATGTGGAAAATGTTTCTCCTAAAGTTTTCCTTACTTTCTGTTTTTTGTTTTGAACTGGGCATCAGAAGTCTTCACTCTATACACGTTCCCTTTGGATTAGAGGCGGGCACAATACACGATATGTCACAACATCTTATTAGTTGGAACAGAGAAAAAAGAACCAGTAGTGCTACATTTCCATAAACTACTATAAAACACTGTGAGCACAATGAGGTTTATTCAATATTTGACATGATGTTTAGTTAAACGGGACTAATTTAGCTCTGTTTGTAATGAAACATGCAGTCGGTCAGTGTACGATGTACACAGTATGTTCAGAAAAGCATATTTTGTTGTATTGTGACATAATTTGTCACGATAATGATATACATTGTCATATTGCCCAGCCCTGCTCTATATTAAACGTTATAAGATGTATGACTAGCAGTGGTCATTTCTGTGCTCTTTCATCTACGACAAGCTTCTCCTCTTAATTTAGGCCAAAACCTAAACCAAGTCAAACTGATCTCAAATCAACATAAAAAGGCTTAGTTTTTCTAGCACCCAGTCAAACAGGCGGAATTAATTCAGAGTCCCGTCTGGAATCCTGTCTCCCGTACGGCAGCGTTTTGTCTCTGGATTACAGAAAGTTAATTCTGCCCCGGCGCTTTAGAACACTGACCACAGATTGACCATCATTGAATGAGATGTGACGCAGTGTGGGCATGTATGTGTGTAAGCTGTGTGTTTGTTTGTAGGTAGTGAGCTATGCACCGTTCAGCCTCTTCCCCTCCCCAGTGCCCAGAGCTCTCTTCCACCAGGCCCTTGAAGTCCAAACCCACTTTAACCGGCTGGTGGACAGAATCAGCCAGAATCCAGTCTTCCTGGAGGAGGCTCTCGCCAGGTACCGTAATCCAGAATCCAGAATGGTGGTGGTGTGTTAGTATGTGTTGCGCTGGTCTGAGTGGATCAAAAACAGCAGTGCTGCTGGAGTTTTTAAACACCTCAGTGTCACTGCTGGACTGAGAATAGTCCACCAACCAAAATTATCCAGCCAACAGCGTCCAGTGGGCAGCGTCCTGTGACCACTGATGAAGGACTAGAGGATGACCAACACAAACTGTGCAGCAGCAGATGAGCTATCGTCTCTGACTTTACATCTACAAGGTGGACTGACAAGGTAGGAGTGTCTAATAGAGTGGACAGTGAGTGGACACAGTGTTTAAAAACTCCAGCAGCACTGCTGTGTCTGATCCACTCGTACCACCGCAACACACACTAACACACCACCACCACGTCAGTGTTACTGCAGTGCTGAGAATGATCCACCACCCAAATAGTACCTGCTCTGTGAGGGTCCATGGGGGTCCTGACCACTGAAGAACAGGGTAAAAGGGGGCTAACAAAGTATCAGAGAAACAGATGGACTACAGTCTGTAACTGTAGAACTACAAAGTGCACCTATATAGTAAGTGGAGCTGATAAAATGGACAATGAGCGTAGAAACAAGGAGGTGGTCAGAATGTTATGCCTGACCAGTTTTAGAATTATGACTGATGCTCCACCAAAATAATGTATCTCCTTGTATATTCTTTAATACATGTGAATGTACTAATTTTGGAGCATTTCTATTGGTTCATTTATCATCAAATATTCACACAATGTGAAAAGGAGTTGGTGTTTTGAATGGCTTGAAAAATAAAATATAAAAAACTGTTATGATCTTTTGGAATGACATCACAAATAAGTTCTTGAGTGCTCATCCAAAATTTCACGTTGAGTCAAGTGTTACATGTTTCTCGACAGCACCATCAAAGTTGATGACTTCACAGCAAAACTCTTCAACATTTACCGAGAAGTACAACAGGAACCACAAGCTCTGGTAATTCTGCATCACTAACATAATCTAATGTGTTTACAGACTGTTACTGATATTGTTATATATTATTGTGTAATACAGAACAGGACTGTTAAAGTCAGTTAAATACTGCATTTGTTCTCATACTGAGTTCTGTTTGTTTCTAAGCCAATAGTCCTCGGCCTGAACCGCTCAGATTACATGCTGGACCAGAGTGCAGACGGAACGGCATCTTTAAAGCAGATTGAAATCAACACTATCGCCGCCAGTTTTGGGGGTCTTTCCTCACGCACACCGGATGTCCATCGGTATGTGTGTTCAGTTCCACTTAGAACTTCTCAGAGGAAAGAAATACTCTAAATGAGATCTCCTCTTGATCTCAGATTCTTCTCCTGGACACAGTTCAGTCCAGTTTGAATCAGAGTGAGACTCAGCTGAGTAATATCTCCATAAGAAAAGTATAAGAATCGTTTTCTTATACAGCTGTGTTCTAGATAACAGAACCCTCTCAGCAGTCTGTCAGTGCAGAAGGAGAACTCACGCTTTTCTCCTTCATCACCAGAACGTCTCACAGTGAGACGCTGATGTTAGTCTCCTCTTTTCTCCTGAGGAGGTTCAGGAGGAACAGTTCAGAAATCAGTGATCCTTCATTAATATAATACTGAGATCTGCTTTATTTCTCTGAGACGATCTTGAGACAGATTTTTTCCTCTGGGTTGCCCCAACGTAACTAAGCCAGGGGTGTCCAATCTCATCCGCAAAGGGCCAGTGTGGTTGCAGGTTTTCATTCCAACAATACAGGAGCTCACGTGATCAACTGCTACAGACGGAGACTCACCGATTACACAAGTAGAATCAGGTGAGCTCCAGCATCGTTTGGCCTGAAAACCTGCAGCCACTTCATCTTAAATGCTAATTTGAACAGCAGTCAGTGAACAGAAGCAGTCGAAGTTTTGAGATGGTCACCACAAGTTAAAATGTTCTCCTCCCAGGCATATTCTTAGGTTCGCTAACCGGCTGGAGGAACGCCAGCAGATCTTAGACAACAACCCAGCAGCAGGTCTGGCCAAAGGACTGGCAAAGGCCTGGGAGCTTTACGGTTCACAGAGGTTAGTTTAACATTTCTGGTTAAATTTCTACCTGGCTAGGCTGTGGCCATGTGACCGAGTGTTGTGTGTGAGCTTTGACCATCAGATGCAGATCCAGATGCTTAAACAAGTACATAATCTGTGCCAGAGGTTTGTTGAGTAGCCTAAACCTGTACTCAAGTAAAAGTAGTGCTACTTCCCTGACGTAGCAGGTCAACACTAAGTGTCACTTACAGAAGTATGATTGAACGTTTTACACACGTAGTTCATTGCTGAAGTCTGTACCTGAGTTTGGGTTTTTGTGACTTGTATTTCTTCCATTTGGTTTGGTTGGATTTGCACTAAACTGCACCAGATTACACACAGGAGAGTGTTCCGCTTCACCATCACTGGCAGAACAGACCAAACAAAAGGTGTGACAGCTCCCTTTGTGCGTTTTCATGCTTACCTTGTTTGGTGAGGACTAATCAGTCCGTTTTGACAGGTGTGAACACTCCGCCCGTACTCTGTTTCACACTAAACAGTGGAACCGTGGTCCTCCAGAATCAGAGATCTCAGCTGCTTTCAGGTGAACTGTAGCTCTAGTCGATGGGCCCAGCCTTAAAAACGCTCATTTCATCGATTCCTGATGAGGAATTATGTTCTTTTTTGTATCCACATCTAAAATAATTTCACTCAACATGGTTTAAAAAAAGTTGACACAAATTTGTGCAGATTTTTTTTCTAAACACAAAGTTTATCTCACAGTCTGTGCAGGCAATATGCCAGGACAGCTATTTACAGAGATCCAATCAGAGCTCGTTTATAATACATCAAGAGAAAGCAGGCCAATCAGATTTCTTGTAGGGGCAGGCCAAACCCAGAGCCTAAACACGATAATACAAGGAAAATCACAAAATATTTTCTAAACACATCTGGGTCCTACTTGCTCCTGTTGCCCGTCTCGTCTACCGCAGTGACAGATAATGACAGCTTAGACAATTTAGAAAACTGCTTCTGTTCAAATATGTGTGCATTCATTTTTACTGTTTATATACATAAAGACGTCATAATACATTGCCTGCCTGTGTTTTTAAGAATGTCCAGTTATTTCTCCCCTCATAGTGTCCATGCCTTTGTAACGTACAGTCTTACTCTCTCCAAATGTGCCTGTGTGTAGCCTCCAATACAACCAGCTCTGTAATTAGTTTTACAGGAGTTTAACACTATAGAAAGTCTACCTGTCATAGATAGACTGACTCAATAAAAGCCAGCTAAACTTGGATTCCACCATTTGATTCAGTCACATTTTTATGATGGTCTGCACCAAAAGAGATAATTCAGCATCAGTACGCTTTTCTCAGCGCTGTTCGGTCCGCATAATCTCCCTGTTTAACATTTGAGTCTTAACAGAAGCTCATATGGTTCATGGTGGTCTGCAAGTCTTTGGGTAGATTGGGGCAGACATCAGCGACCTGATTGGTTGAATTCAAACTGACATGTAATGAAACCAACCTATCATAAAGAAGTAGAGATCAAGTAAGGTTTGTTTTTATTACTCTGACTGTGATACATGTAGAAAGTAGCCTCGATGTTTTCTACAACAATGTTTATAATAATTTAATGAAGAAAGTGAGAGAGGGCTAGATCTGGATTTAACACTGTGATGGGTTAATGAAAGTGAAAGTAACAGCGCTTGTATTAAATGCCAAATGTCTGACCAGGTAAGGAACACAAAGAACACCCCTGTGTATCAGTTGGTGCACTTTATCTGTTGCATCTGTGTGGAATCAACTGAACCATATGAAAAAGGAACAATGTCACTAAACCCAAACACTGGTGTAAACAATCTAGGTCTAAATCGCTCCACACAGTGTCGCATGTTTTTGGTAGTAATGTTGCTAAAAACTAAGAACTTTTTTTTTTAAAGCAGCTGATTATCTTCTCTTTTGACACTAAAGGCCTACATGTTTATCACAGGGCAGTCATGATGTTTCTTGTTGAGGATGTTCACAGGAACATATACGACCATCGATACGTGGAGAATGAGCTGTGGTTGAGGTAAGCTGCTCCATTCAGCCGCTCATGCAGAATAAGGTTTATCGCTACTGTAAGCCCTCTCGAAATCACTGATTCCCTTGATGAAGCCTGATAAGTTACGTATGTGTACAGAGTGGAGACTGTATTTCAGCAGCTGCTCGTTCCCAGTGATGGAGTAGCTGAAGGCAAAGTGCATTCAGTGTTTGAAAGCCGTCTCTGCTGTAGACGAAGGAACAGGAGAAACTGCAGATAAATTATGGTGGAAACACATCAGACTTTTTCGACTCTCTGGAAAAACACTGTAAAAAATCAGCTGCCCAGTATAATTAAAAACGAAGACCTTAGCGATGCTCATCATACAGCAGAAGCACTAATTCAGTGTGTACTCAAGTCAGGTTCTGTGCTGTTATTGGTGCTTTTTTCAAAACGCTGTAAAATCACAATTTAAGACAATTTTCAAATCACAAGAGCTGTAATTTGTTTAAATTATAGCCTACACTAAAAAATAGTTCTTCAAGGTTCTTAAAAAATGGTTCTTTTAGTAAAGACAGTCATTCTATATAGAACCATGAACACTCAGACCCATCTGCATGCATAAAAAGTTCTCTGCGTGGTGAAACGGTTCTTCAGATCGAAGAATGTGTTGTGTGTGGTTCTGTACAGCATCAAAAAGGGTTGTGATGTTACTTTGTTGCTTGTTGATGTCAACTTTATACCAATAGAAGAACATTTTGGTCCAATAGAGAACTTCAAAAAGGTTCTGTATAGAACCATAAACACATTCTCCATCAACCTGAAGAACCATTTCACCAGGCAGGGAACTTTTTATGCATGCATATGGGTTGCTGAGCCCTCATGGTTCCACATAGAATCATTGTCTTTACTAAAGAACCCTTGAAGAACCATCTTTATTAGTTGTGTACGTTGTTTTAAGTTCTAATAGGGGAAACTGAGCCTAAACAAGAGCTTGTGAACTGCCTGTAGATGAGTTAGACCAATCAGAGGCAATCAAACCTCCATGTGTTGTGAAATCACAACAACTTACTGGCAATTTGACACACTATGTTCAGGGGTTGAGCCTCAAAATCTCAATTAAAAAAAAAATCGCAATTTAAATTGCAGTCGAAATATTAGAAAAATCGCAATTAGATATTTTCCACAAATCATTCAGCCCCGTGTCTCAGCTACAAATGAAGCCAACTTTACTCTGGTAGTGGTGAATATTGAGAGCTCATAACGAGTGTCCAGATTCGTTTATTGATTTATGTTTTAGTTTATTTATTAAACAAAATAGTTCCCCTATATGAAGGAATACTAGTGAGGGAGTAGGGATCCATTTCAGTCACAAACATGTTGACTGAAGACATTTGCCTGTTCTGTATCACAGAGACATTCCTGTGATCAGAAGACAGTTTGAGGATGTTTGGAGAGGTGGATCGCTGGACCATGACAAGAGGCTGTTTGTGTAAGTGACCGCTGTCCTTTCTGAGCTCCGTCAATCAAGTAAGCATTTCTGATGGAAAGAAATAACTGTGCTTTCAGAGATGGACAGGAAGTTGCCATTGTTTACTTCCGTAATGGATACATGCCTCAGAACTACAAATCAGAAAAGGTCAGTACGCCACTCTTCTGGGCGGCTTACCTTCCGCCTGTAACGTTTCCGCTGGTCTCCTGACTTTCATGTACTCAGGTTGATGACCGTTTTGTGTAGCTCATCTATTGTAAACATGTGATGACTCACAGAGTTGGGAGGCTCGGTTGATGATCGAGCGCTCGCGTGCTGTCAAGTGTCCGGACATCAGCACTCACCTTGCTGGCACGAAGAAGGTCCAGCAGGAGTTAGCTCGGCCGGGGGTCCTGGAGCGCTTCTTTCCTGACGAGCCTGAAACGGTGGCCCAGATCCGCGCCACCTTCGCTGGCTTGTACACGCTGGACATGGTACGTATGCTATATTATTCTCAGTATGCATGTAGAAAATGATTCTGATGAGGGTTTTAAGTAATTTGTAAGAAATTTTAAAAAGGAAGGAGTTTTAGGAATAATGAGCAGAGCAGTAGGTGATTGAATAATAACTGAGGATGTTGTATAGCTGAGAGAATTAGGTTTTTAAAGCAGTCAGCTATGAGAGACCATGTAAAATCATGGCACTGCTTGGCCTCACATTACTGCGTATTACTTTTATAAATGTTGCCATGTAAATATGGTATAGATATACTTTTATTTCTATGCTTTCATAGTTTAATTTGTCTATTTTTATTCCTGTTTTATTTCTGCTTAATATATGTAAGTTTATGTGCAATTATATGTTTTGCTACTGTAATACTGCAGTTTCCTTTTGGCATCAATAAAGTTCTATCTATCTAAAATAGTGACAAAATACAATAAGACACCAGTGTTCATTACATAATTTCTGATTTTTAATGGCCTGACTGCAGTAAACAGTTATTTGCACCAAGCAATGTAATGTGTTCCAGTGGAGATGCACAGATTCAGACTTTTTGTGGCTGATTCAGATTTCTCTACAGTTGTTTGATGGGTGATGTGTTTTTTGGCCGATGTTTATTAGCCCACACTGTGTTAGCACATTTCCACTTTCTGTTAGCCAAAGTCACGATATAAATAACATTATTTGCTCTTTAATAGGCCAAACTAGCCAAAATGCTACATTGCCTGTAAGAGGCTGTTTATCACAGTGACTCATGCATAATTGTTCTGCAATATTTGCATAACGTACTGCGGTGTAGGTGTAATAGCAGCGTTCAGATACAGAGTGAACTCACCTGCCTCACATTTCAATTCTTATTGTTCCTAAATAAACAAACTGTTGATTAAAAATCTAAAAATACATTTTTGTCTAGTTTATAATAATTTTATCTGTAATCTAAGTTACTTGATATCATGAGTGATTCAAAACTTTTGCTCACACTTATATTAACGTTTCTATACCTCTAACACATTTTTTTAATTTTTAATTTTCACTGCCATTAGGGGGAGGATGGAGACAGGACAGTAGCCATGGCTTTATCCAACCCAGACCAGTATGTGCTGAAGCCCCAGAGAGAAGGAGGCGGTGAGGAGCCTGTACCTCTAACACACGTCCACCCAAACGCTTTACCTTTGATCTCTGCAACTCACACGTCTCTCCACGCAGGGAACAACATTTATGGGGAGGAGATCTGCCGAGTGCTGGAGAGCATGAAGAACAGCACGGAGAGGACCGCCTACATCCTGATGGACAAAGTTCGGCCCCGCCCGGGTCACAACTACCTGCTCCGACCGGACGCTCCTTTGAGGCTGTGCACGTGCCTGAGTGAGCTGGGCGTTTTTGGAGCCTACGTTAGGTACGCTGAAGAACAGAGGGAGCTGCTTTTTCACACAAAATACATTTTTACTTACACTCACTGCGTACATGCTGCATAGATGGTCCCCAGCCTCGGTCCTGGAGCACCGCTGGTTACAAACCTGATCGTACTAATCAGGGCCGGGTTTCCAAAAGCATCACTGTTAAATGGTAGAGCGAGCATCACATCAAACACTCCTTCATTCCTTCATTCCTTTATTCCTGAGTGAGTGAGTGAGTGAGTGCGTGAGTGAGTGAGTGCGTGTTAAAGGTGGAAAACACTAAAATGTGTCAGGATCACTGTTGTGCTGAAAATGATCCACCACCAAAGTAATATCTGGTCAGTGGTGGTCCAGTGGTGGTCCATTTCCATTGACGAATGGGGTAAAGAGTGGCTGGCAAATTGTGCAGTAATAGATGAGCCACAGTCAGTAATTGTAAAATAACTGTCTACATGCACTTACATGGTAAGCAGCAGGGCTATTATAGTTAATGGGAACTATTACAAAAACAAAAAACAGCCATGAAAAAATGGCCACATACATAAAAACAAGTTCTCAAAAAACACGAAAACTAAATCAAAAATAAAATGCCAATTGCAGAACCAACTAAGACAGTATTATAGAGAAAAAACTTCCGTTTTCATGTTTTCAGTGCATGACAGACGGTCTAGACGTTCTATATTAAACCTTAAATACTCAGAGGACAGCGAAGCCTTTGTGCAGCCTACCTGAGCACAGTCTGCTGCTGGGCTCATGTTGCATTACTACTAGCTTTTACTTTGCTTATCATTTTGAGTAATTATAAAAACTAAAACTTCTCATTTTCAGACAATAAAACAAAACTATGATGAAAAGGATTAAGATGCAACAAAAAGTTTTACAATTTGGGGAAAAAAAAAAAAAATAAAACAGCCAAATAACAAAAATTAAAATTTCAAAATAATAACCCAGCAAGTGGACCTAATGACCCTCTCCCACCACTTAACACGATGTTTACCAGTGCAGGTGTCATTTAGCTGAGATAACAGAACTGACATTTAGCGTTTTCCTCCAAGCGTGTTGGTGTCTGATATTGTTGTATTAGCAGCAGGTTGAAAACATTTGGTGGCGCTTTACGCGTCTCGGAGCAGCTTGATAGCATCCTGTGATGGGGAGACCTAGATAACAGGTGCAACAGGCAATGACTAAATTGGGGAGAAGATAAAAATAATAATAATAATAATAATAATAATAATAAACTACTAATAATAAACTAATCTTAGATGATTTTGAAACCCACTGATACTTTGTGTTCACACACAGGAAGGGCGCGGAGATGGTGATGAACGAGTGTGTCGGCCACCTGCTCAGGACCAAAAGCTCTGAACACGCTGATGGAGGCGTAGCTGCAGGAGTGGCAGTTCTGGACAATCCTCTTCTGGTTTAGGCCATGTCGCCCTCTGTGGACCAAGACAGGAACTGCACACCACAAAACAGATTAGGGGTTCCATTTCAAGCAGAGCTTTGCTTCATTGCTCCGTCAGCACTGCTCTGTCTCAGTAGGAGAGAGAACGCTGGAACCAGTAGTGATTAAAACATTCCCTCTTTAAGACGGTGCTCACTTTAACAGGGAGCTCCTGAACTGAACTACTGAATGCCACAAGTGTACTTCTTTACCTCATTCAGCACTGAATAGTCTAAAGCGCTGTGCTGAAACTAGAACTTCATCACGTATTTTAATAGGACGGTTTATTGTAAAGAGACTTTTGTGCTTTTTAATTTGAGGCCGTTGACTCAGCCAGCCAAACTTACAGATCCCTGTGAACCGACTGGGAATAGTAATTTTTTCAGTGCACCTGAAATCTGTCTGTTTGGAATTAGGCTTAAAGGAGAATTCCACAGATTTCTATATAATTTTGTGGTTAAGATGTAAACAGATTCATTCAGTGTGGTTTGATGTGAAACGTGCTGTTTCTGACTTACCGAGTCAGAACTGTTTGTAATGTTAGTTAATGCGACTGCAGATCCCTCACGAAAAGTTATTATATGAAATGGCTACCAAAGCACTGCCCGACGCCTGGGCTATTATTTTACCATAGTTTTGAGTGAATATTTTGGCTTAAAACTTATTTTTGAATCCATTCATGAGAGATACATGCATAGCGTTGTATATTATAAACAGTTATGCAGCATTGAGAAATAAAAAAAAAAAACCTGGGTTAACTTTCATAATATTAACAGAATATTAAGTTAACAAATAATAATTTGTTTACATTTGTCAACTTAAGCTTTAAGGTACTTATTTTTTAAAAAGTGAAAGCTGCATAACCTTTTATAATGTAAGGCAAATTAGCCATCAATGAAAGTTCAGATTTATCACTATTTATCATTAATATTACATATAAAAACTTGGAAGACGTGTAGGTTCAGTGGTGGGAATTGGACAGTAAATAAAATGTGTATTTGTGTTGTAGTCATGGCGACCCCTGGTTCCTATCACCACCACTGTAAAGAAAATCGGAGCCTGTAAGTTAATGAACCGTTTCACATCAAACTGCTCTGAATGTCTTTGTTTACGTCAACGACTGAATCATCCAGACATTTTTAAAATGACTAATTCCTCCTTTATATATTTTGTATTTTAAAAGTCTCGGAAAGTGAAAATCAGACAATGGATGCTTGGATTATAAACTTTCTCTGTTACTGTATGTCATTCAAAACATGATGAAAACGTTCCTATAATTCAGTGATGATGAGCTCAGTTCTTATTTATGTGCAACAACAAATCCGAGTGACGCATTTGTAAAATTACACAGGGCTTTTCAGTGGCAGTACTTTGAGAGAGCATACTGTACTTTACAGAAACGATTTTCCTCCTGATATGCAATAAAGAGATCTTTAATTATGTAATGGGAAACAGTGAATGTGACAAGTGTAGTTGAATAAAAAGGCGCTGAGATTCAGGTCCTTCTGAAATCCACATTTAATGTCGATCCATCACTTTACATCCATATAAATCACATTTTCCTCACAGAGCTAATCAGACATTAGCTACAAATCCATCCACTCGATCACTCATTCCACTCTCCTCTCGCCACAGTGAACTTCTGAGACGTCACGATAAAGGTTTCCGATAAAGTGAGACGTTACAGAGGCGCTACTGGACATGCAGAAAATTTCAACCAAAGCAGGTCAAATAAAACGTCAAAGAACAGTCATTTCTTGGAAAGGCAAGCCGGGCCCTGACCGAACAACCCCAGGGCCGAGACAGAGAAAAAGACAGACTGAAAGGTGTTGGAAACAAGTTCAGGAGTCTTGTGCTCAGTAAAACGGTCATTTAAAATTGATACACATTTGCTGTTTTTTTTGTTTTTTAATTATTATAAAAGTCTGTTTGCTCTGTTACGCTTCACACTGCAACATATAAACGTTAAAAAGAGAAGCGAAAGAGATGAGAAACGAAACTGCACATTTATTGGGTGTTTAGCTTAATTTCCTGGGTAAGGACTGAAAGGCAGTCAGTGATGCTGAAAGACAGACAGACAAAAAAAGAAAAGCAAAGAAAACACATAAGTAGTCTGTCGGAATGTGCGAGGCAGGACCGACTCAAAACGCAGAAAAATCAACTCAGAAATTTAATCTTTTCCTGCCCGACAAGGATACATAACATACACGCTGGCACACAGACTTACGCTCACAGGAAAAAACAAATCAGTATTTGGAGAGAAAAAAACACGTAGGAGCAAAATTAAAGCATCTCAACTGACGAGGAAAAAGAAAAACAACGGAAGAGAAACACTGTGATCGGTACGAAAGGATGTTCATAGCGCAATAATGCAGAAATAGAGGCTGAAAAGTTGAGCTGCATTCTGTGAGATTTTAAACACTGCCCCCTACCTGTGATAAATTAAAGAGGAATTCCACCAATTTTTCTGAATTTCTGCAGAATCACACCGTTAAAATAAAGAGTCAGTCAGAGTGTTTTATGTGAAACGCGCTATTCTAGAGAAACAGTGGTGAAGGGAACCAGACGTCTGAAGTGGATAACGCTTATAAAAGCTACATCACGTTATATGAAATGCTTAGGAACGCGCTGCCTGATTCCTGAGACAGTCAGTGTGTTTACATGCACTCAATAATCCGATCATAATCAGATTTCTGCAGTTATCTGATTATTCAAATGGTCATGTAAACACCATACTCCGATCTAGAAATCTGATTAAGAAATCTGATAAAGAGGCTGGAGTTTAGCTCAGTAATCAGATTTTTCAGTGCATGTAAACTCGTACTCGGATTTCTTTCCGATTACTCAGACCAAGCAAGATGCAGCAAAACACTTTTGGAGCAATGATGAATCCGACTACATGCCTGACGTAACGAGGAATTTAATTATTTAACATTTTCTAGATGATGTTTGTTCATTTTTCAGGTAAAGTGGCGCGAAGTTTGAGTTTTACGTTACGCTTACGTCTCGTCTTCTTCTGTGAGTTTATTGGCTGGTTGTAAAGCAGAAATCTGATTACTGTCTGACTCATGTAGACCTGGAGTTTCCCCACTATCTGATTACTCATATGCATATAAACGCATTGATCGCAGCACGCAGATCACTGTAGGGCAGAATAGTCCCCAAAGAACACAATCTTTTTTTTTGTTTCACCACTGTTTTACCATAATCATCATAAAAACTCAGAAGACACGTAGCTTCTCAGGTTATTTCAGACTGTAAATAAATGTCTGTATTTGCATTGTAGACGCTGTGACCCCTGGTTCCTGTCGCCACCACTGTAAAGACATCTGTCTGCAAGTTTCTCCACAATGTCTCGTTTTACATCAAACGACCCTGAATGACTTTCCATCTCAACAGTTCAATTCTTCAAAAAATCAGCAAAATCAGTGAAATTCCCCTTTAATATAATTATCTTTCCACTGAACCAAAACGTCTCTCACGGCGCGTGAAAGCTCAAACGTGTACATTAAAGTATATAGGGATGGTCTTAGCCTGAGCTAGTCTTAGTCTGAAGCAGAGAAATCTGTGGTTCGATCTTACAGAACGCAGCTTTATTAACAATGACAGATTACAGGCGTTTTGTTATGTAGATTTTACATTCATCATTGCTTCCCCCCACCCACCCCCCCCAAACTCCCACCGAACCCAACATAGATGTTGAATATTTACATGTTATCTTCACTATAGATTCTCAGTTGAAAAAAAAAATAGAAAAAGTTATTTTACAACTCTCTCTTGTAAAGTTTCCATTTTACATTATAAAACAAAGCCACGGCAAAGGAGCCGAATATAAAACAGATGAACGTGTCGTTTGTGGATGACTGACGAGTTCAGGTTCCAAACCTGAAAGAACTGCCTGCATCTATTGAAGCGTCACTGCCTTGTGCTTCGTTCTCTCCCTTTTCCCTGAGAGACCCCGTCCCCAGTAGCTGCATCCATAAGCTCCCTCAGAGCCTTCTGTTCTGGATCTCACACAGGGAGCTTGGCTGGACAGATCTGAAGGAGTACAGCTGTATGCAAAAGTTTCTGCGCCCCTGGTCAAATGAGCATAGTGCACATCCTTTTCGGAGAACACCTTAACGCACAATTACTGTGTATTTGCTGAATTTAAAGTCTTGTACGTTCGTGTTCCACGTTTTTTTTACTAGTAGAGGATCTGTTAACTTATTTTTACTTAGACAATCAACAAACAGGTGAGCTGACTTTTGCATACGACTGTATGGGTTAGTCTCTTTATCCTGGTGAGCTCTGGACAGTGAGGAGGTACAATCTGGTCCTCTAACACGTGACAGAGGAGGACCTAGAGGAAAAGTAGAGAATCTGCCTACTGCCCACTAGTCCTTCCTGGGTGTGACATAGTGCATTCGGACGGTCCTTGAAAACTTGTAAAATGATCAAAACTACCAGTTATTTGTGTTCAGGTGGTCTTCAGCAACTGGGATATATCTCTTCTGGAACGATGCTGCTACAGAAACCTAAGTCTTCACTTTGCAGTTCAGCAGGTGGCAGTAATGAGCCTTACTCTGGTCTGCCAACTGCCATAAATGTCAAAGAAACTTAGTGAAAATGAATGACAGATTGCTCAGTCTGCTGTGTTTATGTGGTATCAGAGACCAAACTGACTAGTGATCTATCAGAACTACGGTCTATGTATACAGGGTGATTCAAAAAGATTAATCCAATTTCAAAATGATTTATTTCACCTGTAAATAATTACAGATCAATGCAGTGAACTGTAAATGGTTTAAATGAGCATAAAGTTTATTATGTAATTGTAGAAGGTCTCAGTCTGAACCTCCTCCAGCTGTACAGACAACATCAACACCATAGTCAAACTCATCCCATACTGGATTGAGCATGTCGGGTGTCGCTGCACTCACGGCTCTTTCAGTGCGATTTCGGAGATCATCCAGTGTTGTGGAACCAAGTCGAACGCTCTGAGCTGTTGGAGCTTCACTGCCCACGAAAATCACACTGCACAGTTATGACGGATTCACTCTTATTGAAGTGGAGAACGCAGAACGCTTTCTGCTCAGGGGTCTCATCTCCTCTCAGACTGAAGGGAGCCGTCTTCCACTGACAGGCAGAGACTCTATGACCCCCAATTGGATTGTGATTGGTTCCTCGGCGCCTCACGGTTGTAAAAATATGGCGCCTTGAAATCAGATTAATCTTCTTGAATCACCCTGTGTGTGTGTATATAAATATATATAGGTTTGGGTTTTTTAACATTTTTCCCTTTTTAACATTCCTCAAATTGAAAATATTAGAGATGCCAAGTTTTTTTTGGACTGTACTGTCTCTACTAACACTCTCTTAAAGACAGTAGACAACTGGGGACTTTAGCAAATTACATTATGCACCCAAAATTATTTTACTGTATTTTAAAGTAAATAGCAGCCTTGAATAATTAACTAAATAAGACTGGTTTTAATGTTAACATACTTGCAGTGTGAACTGTGAGGCTGTTTTATATACAACATTACAAATATCAGATCAAATTCAGCGTCAGCAGATACTCAATAGTAAAGAACTGAGGGGTCGGGGGTGCCGAGGTCTTGACCGTGTGTCTTGTGTGAGGCCTGATAGTGAATGTACTACTACTGGTGCTGTACTGTTTGTACTACACTATTCAGTGTGATGGTATGAGAGCTCATCTGTACTCGTGCAGCCTGTCGCAATCACAGAAATTCACAAGTTCAAGGGAACCTTCCGAATGCACCTTTAGTGTGCAATAGCAGCAAGACTGGGCACTTTTGCTGGAGGTGGATGACATCACAGGTCCCTGATAACAACTGGCTACTGCGATTGGCAAGTCAGCAGTCAATTCACCTGAATAGTAGCTTCTGATTAGTTGATGGGGAGACTGAAACTGGGCTATGGTTCTCATGGAGAGGTAACCTTTGACAGGAAGTGAAAAACGTAAAACAGAAGAAAATGATGTCTCAAGCGGTCGGGAGTATCAACAAGAGCAGGTCTTCCCAAAGACCAGAAGTGAAGGCAGTGACTCTCCAGATACGAGTAGTCTGGACGATAAGAAATCGGGGCCGATCTAATAACTCAGTGGACCTGTGCTGTGAGGCCCGACTAAGCACGATGTCGTAAGTACCGCCAAGAAAGCTTATTGTTGGGGAGCCTGTGTAAAGGCCCCATCCCTGACCCTATAGTTTGAAACCAAGACAGTTACTGTACGACCATAAAATCTTTTATCTTTTAAAAAACTTCAATTTATGCATATAAAAACGCCCCATAAAAATACACGTTTTGTGCAGTACAAGTTAGTGCAATTCTTTTAGTTTTTTCTTTCCCTCGTTGTTCTTCTTATTGGCACTTAGTGAAGTTTACGACCACTAGAGGGATCCGCTCTCTTTCTTTTCTGACCACAGAGAGAGACGGGTCAATGCTGCCGTGAGCTCTGATTGGACAGGACGCCTGACAAACAAGAGAAGCAGCCAATGGCAGGCCGCCGGGGTTTTCCTACATAAATTAAGCCCTGATTGTGCCGTGCATTCACATGATTCATAGCTGAGTGAGGACTGTGTTCCGCCTCCCTGTATGCGCTCCAATTTAATGATTGTTCAGCATTTTTTGTACTAACATCATCAAAAGAGCGAGAATAATATCAATTCCAGAAAAGCTCTGGTTCAAGTCGAGGCGTTGTCATGGTGACAGCTCAGAGATGGCTTTGCCCGTACTCAGTGGGGTCAGATAACATGGCAACCCTGCTTGTGTGTGTGTGTGTGTGTGTGTGTGTGTGTGTGTGTGTGTGTGTGTGTGTGTATGTACATAGGTGAACAGTCATTGTTTGCAGCCATGCTGGTTCGACCACCAGCACAAAGAGAGGCGAGGTGAAAGAAAGAAAGAAAGAAAGAAAGAAAGAAAGAGAAATGCTCGCACAGTGGAACATATGCCAGAGTCTACATTCAGAGCGGCATCGCCAGTCAGTTTTTGCCATCACAAGCACCACTTTCCTTTCATGACTGTGGTCATTTCTTACAAGTGCCGCAAGCTGATACAGATGATGCATCATTATTATTGACTCTGCACTGTTATGATGATGTATGGGAAGCAAATAATCCCTCGAGGATGCCTTGATTCATATCAGCCAAATGATTTTTCTGCAATGTTCTGTCAACAGAGTCTGGCTGCAGACATGCACTCTCAGACAGATGCACTCTCAGACAGACGCACTCTCAGGCAGACGCACTCTCAGACAGACGCACTCTCAGGCAGACGCACTCTCAGGCAGACGCACTCTCAGGCAGATGCACTCTCAGACAGATGCACTCTCAGCCCCAGTGACGTCATGTGCACATGCACTCTCTGCCACAACGGCAGAAGCAGCCCAACGGCATGTTAACATGTGGCTGCTTCTGCTTAGTGATGTCATCACTTAATCCATTTTTCGTCCATAACACAGATGGAGAATTCCATTTAATGTACCTCCCTGATGAAAAAAGTCACAGAACCCATTAAAGTGTATGTTGGTTCCTGGTGGTTTTCAGTAGTTGCTAATGGTCTTCTGTGTTTCCTGATGGCTTGATATCACAGTGTAAAGGATTCTGATGGTTTAATCAGGTGTTTTGGGACTGATTCCAGATACAGATGTTTTCGAATGGTCTCTGATAGCAACCATTAAGCCAATTCCCACTAGGAAGCAGACCTATAGGTTTTATTCCTAACGGTTCGAATTGTCTTCAAGGTGGTTTTCGAGTTTCAGGGTAGCCTGTTTGTTTTTCTGTGAATAAACTCCACATTATGTCTCATCGTTGTGGTTTTATTTTGAAAGTTTCCATATTTAATTAATTTATTATCAGTATGACAATGTTAAACAGTTCGTGGTTCACTGTTTTTCCCCATAAAACCAACAGAAACTCTGTCGTGGCAGAGCGGCACTGACGTCGTCAATAGGCTGGCGGTGCACGTCAGGCTGAGAGGGCATGTCTGCAGCCAGACCTCCTCCATTCTGTGTAAAAATGCATACATGAACAGGACTAATGCCATGATCAGGTGTTCCACACACAGAATGAGCTTAACCTTGGACTAAACAGTGGACTTAACAGCGAAAACCCTGTTTAGTCTTTGACTAGGAATACTGTGTGTGGATAACCAGTCCATGAGATGAGCCCATCTAGAACTCTTTGCAGCACAGCTCCACTGTGGAAATCAACGGTCTGATATGTACATTCTCTCAAAATCACATTCTACAGTGAGCCGTACCTGAAAGCGCTCAACTCCTGTCAAACGCAAAGGGCAATGAAAGCGCTCACCCTCAGTAATACTGTGGATCTGTACAAAAATATCATATGGTTTATCAAATGAATCGCCGAGATATCGGTCTTCATATGACAAGGCTAGAACGGCTGGTGCGAAATATATCAGGACATGAACTATGAAAAAATAGAGTTAAATTTTCTCACCAGAACAAACTTGATGTAGTGAGGAGACTCAAAAAAGGTGCATATGTATTTGGAAGTGCCAAGAGAGGTGGAGTAGGTGCCGATGAGCGCGTTTGTTTTGCTGCTTACTGAAGCAATGTTAAGCTCTCTTGGTGCCACAGCCATTTCCTTTTCATGTTTAAAGCTACAAAGCATAAAGCATGTATGTAAGCATGCATTATCCGCTCCCCAATACATGACAACCAAGATCTTGGTTGATTTACTGTAAGTCAGTGAGTCTGTAATCAGGTAAAATAATGCTTAAAAGGTAAAAGCCCAGAAAGACAAGGTTTCAAAGTAGGCTGTCCAAACAAACCTGCCACTGATCTGGAGCTATTTCAACCCCCCAACACCCCACCCCCACCCCCCTTACCTCGCCCCAGCCAAACCAAAGGCGAAACGGTCAAACAGCTCAAACAGCTCAATAAAAAGTAGCTTACATTGTTTGACCAGGAGTATCGTATAAAGACTGCCACACTCAAAAGTCATGAGAAATCTTCAACCACTGCCTTCCGATGAACACATGCAACATGTGAAGAAAAGTATCTTAAACTTCTGAATCAGCTTTGTATTTTTTCAGATTTTTCTTGATTCATAGAGAAGAAAGTTTCTGCTTTAGAATAGTGCTGCAAAAGCCAATATATCTTGTTTTTTTCTCCAACTTTTATCATTTTTTTCCTTTTTTTGTGTGTTTTTTTTTTTTTGCATGTTTCATAAGAGTGAAATATGTTCCACTGTTGGCTGTGGTTCAGGACAAGGAGCACCTCCTGAAATGGCCACATCCCAGAAACACCCCCCCTTACCTCGCCCCATCTGTAGCTCAGCCCTGAAGGAAAAGTCCATTCTGGGGCTCTGGAGAGGGAGGAGTTAGTGAAAGTCAGTGAAACACTGCTGATGGAAGAGTCCATTTGGTTGGAAGGGAAAGATCAGGATCAGTCAGTGAAGCGCTGGCAGGCTTTCTTCCAGCGGCAGGCCGTGCACCACAGATCCTTCTTCTCCATCCCGTACACCTTGCGACATTTCTTCGCTTCACCGCGGGGTTTTCTGGATAAGAGGAGTTTGAGAAATTTAATGTGAGGATGTTGAACAAACTGGACGAAAACTGTGAACATGCACATCTTAATTCATCAGAAAAATGTTTTGTGAAATGACAAAAATCATTTCAATCATTGCCAGGATTACAAGATTAACACTTTTTTTATATATGCAAACAACACATTTCTGCTACAATTGAAAACAAACATTTTTCACCACCTTGAATTCAGTTGAAAGTGGTGTGAACGCAAATGCAAATATTACAACTAACTGTAACAGACAACAGAAAATCTAGAACATACATCAATACAGAGCTGCGTTTTTAGAGCCAGGACAAGTTTTCCAGCCTGAACACACTAAAAGGTATGCATAAAAATGAATATGATTAGTGGAAAAAGAATTTGTCAAACACTGGCAAATTTATTTTTGTACTCAAAGTAGAACAGCAAATATCAGCGCAATAAAACTGAAAGATGTTTTATTTAAATGCCATCTGTAGTACGTTTTTCATGAATCTGTGAATAAAATTTATATTGAGGGGGTTCTTTCATTGTTTAGATTTGGGGGCTCGTGTGTGGGGGTTCAGCTCTCGCTGTGCGCTGGTTATTCACTTGAAAACATTGCTTTATTACAGTCATCAAGAGGTTGATTCAAATAATATAGGTGTAAATGCTGTAATTTATACTCAGTAATTACAATGAAAAACATTCTTTTTTCAAAATAACTGACCAAATTTATCTGTCTGATTATTGTGAAGAACTGTAGATGACGTTGCTATGGAAACACGAGACGGAAACCGAAAGCGTACTTAAACTTGCGTTAGGTGGTGCCTCACTGTCCCCTACTTTTACCACCTTCATGAAACCAGAATGAACGTCTGCATGACTTATTTCTAACTAATATATCACTGTTGTCTGAAGAAAACCTCGTATCCCCATTTTTCAGTTTTTGACATAATTTAAAAATGTCTGTTCTTTACATTGTGTGTATTTCATGAGGAAAGGACCGAAAGAAGTGGCACAAAATGACTTGGGAAAGACGTCTGGTTCCATTGACTTGCATTAAAAGTAAAGTAGGTTTTTTCCTTCTGTAAAGTCACCATTTTGGAGCTACAAGGTTTTCCTCCAACAACAGCGAAATGATTCATTAACATTTTCAACTGTCATTCAAAGCATAAATGAAATGCAAAATACATTAATACAACCTATTTAATGGTACAAAAAAGCAAATTAATAATGCAAAATGTGGTTAATTGTTTTCATTCAGTCACTGAAATCAAACACGTCCTTACAGACCATTTGAATATTAATTATGGCTTCTGAATATTTGAATATTCGAAAATATGCAATAGCTGCAGCCCTAATGTATAGTTTTACAAACACACACACACACACACACTCTCGCAGGCTGTACCTGGTTCCAGCAGTGGGTTTGGGTGTAGACAGGTTGATGGTGTGTGTCTTGCTGACGGTGGTGTGTGTGACGGGCTGTCTCTTCTCCCCGATGCTCACAGTGCGGACATGGTTCAATGCGCCCTGCAGGAAGAGCCCAGGTGAGATATGACTCAGCTGACAACCCTGATAACTACACACAGTGGGGGGGATCACTGCAGGCATCACAACACAGTATTACCATAATACCTGAGCCACTATATGATTCTACTGCATTTCTTCTGGTAAGTATTGAGATATTACATATTGCAATATTGCAATCTATTGTGATTTACTGCTTTTGGCTGCATATTATTCCTCTAAAATGAAACTGTGTTTAACTAATTAAGGTAATCTTTTGTTTATCTCATCCTTTTTATTGCAGCAAATGCATCAACACTGAAAACAGGCGTTATCCTAAAAAAGTGTAACAAATTAAACTCCATGCCGTGTGCAGGGCGAGCAGGTTCTCCACTGCACTGTCCAACCCATCCAACAGTTAACTGATAGAAACATCTTGTGGATTAAGAAGGAAATGAATGCTGGTGATCTGTCAGTCCAACAATGGGCTTAACAGTTTTGTGCAAAATATAAAAAATGCAGAAATTATTGAAAATGTTCTACATAAAAGGTTGCATTTTAGACCATTCCTGCACTGTCCCTGTCTGTATCTCACTAAAAACACTGCCCAGCTTTTATAGGCCAATGTCTTAAAGAGGTTCTTATTCACTTCACCGCTGGCTGTGCATCCAGTACATGCTGGTGTGGCTGATTGAACAAACGGTTGAATAAATGGACGGACAGACAGGCGACAGAAGAGAGAGAGAGGAAGAACCCACAGGAGAACACGGTCAAACCACATCAGCCTTGTGATTGGTGAGGAGAATACTAGCCCCGCCGAGTTTACACTGCAAGAGGAGAACCCATCAGCCATTTAGTGGACACTGTAAAGTCGTTCACAGGACATACTTGTATGCAAAAGTTTAAACACCCAAGTCAATGACGTTGTGTTGATTTTCTAAGTGAAAACTCTTCTACTGAGAACACGCTTACCTATCGCATGTTCTGCACAATTTCTATTTGATAGAGTTTATCATACTGGAAAAAGTAAACATAAAATGCAAAATGTGCCACAAAAAAACACATTTTAAGCTTTTTCTTTTATGTTAAATTAAGCAAATACACAGTAATTGTGCAGCTACACTGTTAGAAATGAAGGTTCTGTTCAGGTACATTTCTGTTCATCAAGGTACAAACAGTGTAAATGTTCCTCAAAGCTCCAACAGTGGTTTTAAGGTCTGATTGTGAACCTTAAATAAGTTTTTCCAGGTGAAAAGTTCGTATTTGTACCTTTTCATAACCGAATGTTTTAAACAGAACAGTAAAATAAAAGCCTGGAGACGAGACGGGGTGTGTGGAGTCAGTACAGCTTAGAACATATCATTTCAGTGGATTATGGTTCAGTTATGTTCCCTGACTAAAGGTACTGAGATGGACCCTTGAGGGTTCCACCCCAGTGACAGGAGGGGAACTGACCCAGTGACAGTTTAGTACCTTTATTAAAAGTGTGCTCTCTGTAGAGGATTTGTACTTATTTTTACTTGGAAAATCAACAAAACATGCAATTTGACGGAGCGGCCAAACTTCTACACACTGCTGTATATATGTGCACACGAGCAAGACTGAACTATTTAGTATTTAGGTTCCTGGGCGAAAGCTACAAGGTAAAAATCTTAAATATCCCAAAATACTGCAATATTATTCTCTATTGATTTTTCCTCACCCTAACAGACAGACATTATAGGACGGTGACAGTTTTTCCAATTATTTTCTAATAAAGCTGATTCGATCCTCCACATCCTCCCTTCAGTCACCAACAGTAAGTGAATGTCTGCTGTTGTCACAGTTGAGCTTGTCCACAGTGAAGCTCTGGTTCTCATACAGTTCTGCTCATTAAACACATCACTCTCAGTCTTTCATATGGAAAGCATCGTCATACAAAGAGCTGCTCTCCAATTACCAGCAAATAACACGCTCTCTCAGATATGATCCTCACATTATTACTACTTCCATTATATCATCTTTTACACACTGAAATGCAGCACAAGGTGCTTCAAACAGTGTGAAAATAGAACAAGCATAAAAGAAACAACAATAGGAAAAAATACAAAAGGCAAAAACTACTTGAAAGCTGGAGTGAATAAATACGCTGTTTTTAAACTGTCAGCAGGAGTTGTCTGACAGATCTGAGCAGGCAAAGAGTTTCAAATCTTTGGAGCATAAAAACAGAAACTTTCTTTGTCTCTCATGTTTGGCTCTTGGAATATCCAGCTAGGCAGCAGGTAATGACCTTAAGATCCAGTTTAGAATATCCAGTCCGTCAGACACTCTGCAGTATATGAAGGTGGCAAACCATTTATAGCTTTAAAAGCTTAAAAAAACGGTAATAGAGGAAAGAGACACTCGACCTCTTCAGTCAGAACTCGAGCGACAGATTGAAGGCAACCTAGTGTGACGCTGGTACGGGTGAAGTGTGTCTGTGGTACACTGATGCAGCATGTAATGGTGATGAGTAATTAGGTTCAGAGTATCTCGACTGAGATCTTTATTTAGCTCAGCCTCGACCACAGTGTTCAAAAAGATCAGGTCACTGCTGACGTATGTGTCATGCTGAAGCTGAACAGAGAGCTAATCTCTTTTCCACATCGGTTCTGCATATGACGCTACACTTCCTTCGTTATTTGGGGTGTGCTGTTTCAGAGTGGTCTTTGATTTACTCGCATTAGTACTAATCCAGGGATGATGAACCCAATGAGGAGCAGTTATGAGCCCTGAAATACAGCTGTCATTTGTCACAGTGCGCTGTAACTATTCTCTGCTATATATTTTTGCAAAACCATGTGAGACAGGAAACAGGAAGCTATGCAAAAAGCCCCCCACAGATGCAGGAGGCACGGGGCAACGTTAGGACATCTGCAAAAATCTTGCACCATAACAAAAAACGCAGAAAATGCAGATGAGTGAGAGAGAATAAATAGGATGCTTTAAGTCTTTCTTTAACTTTTAAACATGAAAGAAAGAAATAAAAAGACAAATAATGAAAGTAAAAATGTGATTTCAAGTTTTTACATTTGTATGAAAACTGCTCTGCAGTGTATTATTGAGTGTGTTTACGTGCACTCAATAATCCGATCATAATCAAATTTCTGCAGTTATCTGATTATTCAAACGGTCATGTAAACAGTATGCTCTAATTTCTCAGAACAGAGTAAGGTCTAGAAACCTGATTAAGAAATCTGATAATAAGGCTGGATTTTAGCTCAGTAATCAGGTTTCTCAGTGCTGTGAACTCTTACTCTGATTTCTTTCTCTCAGTCTGCGCATGTGTGAAAACAGACGGTACTGTGGGGTCCTGACCACTGAAGAACAGGGTAACAAAGTATCAGAGAAACAGATGGACTACAGTCTGTAACTGTAGAACTACAGAGTGAAACCATTTGTAGCCCATTTTTAGCACATTATCACATACTGGACATAAATGTTGCGGCTCCCAATTTGGTTTGATTTTTGCTGAAAGGACAAAATGGCTCTTCTTATCATTTGTGTTGTGACTCCTGATCTAACCTGGCTTTAATGCAGAGGGAGCCGGTCGGATTTCTCGCTCATCCGGTTGTGTGTTTGTTATGTGCCGCCACAGACTGTCCGGGCGCTGCACTTACCCACTTCCAAGTTCAGCCCTTTGCGTTCCGTCAACATTACGTTATAAATGAAATATTTAGAAAATCGATTTTTGACATTTATGAATCGATTCAGAATCGTCCACGTCTGCATCGCGATGCATCTAAGAATCGATTTTTTCCCGCACCCCTAATATATATATGATGAGTGGTAGCAGCGTCTCTCTCTCTCTCTCTCTCTCTCTCTCTCTCTCTCTCTCTCTCTCTCTCTCTATATATATATATATATATATATATATATATATATATATATATATATATATATATATATATATACATATAAAAACACTACACTGTGATAAATACTGAAACTGTCAGAAATTTTAATTTTATACTGTGATATAAATTTTTGGCTATACTATAAAACCAACACATAGTATTTCTTCTTTAATTCAGGAAATTGAACATTGATCAGCTTTGCCTGTCAGTCATTGGTTCCAGCTCTATGTGGCCTCGTCTGACTGCACTGATAAGCCCACCTTCATAATACAAGGGCCCTAGTTGGAGTGGTCAAGTGTGCTGTTGACTTTGACCTCTTCGGGTCCTGGATAGACAGAATTAAGACTTTCAATAAAAAAAAAAAAACAGCTCACTTTTGTTTGATTTTGTTCTCTTTTCCTGTTTCCTCTGATTTAATCTTTCATTGTTTCAGATGTTTTTAAACCTTAGAGGAAGGATGTGAGGGGCACGTAAATTTGGAAAAAAAGACAAACTTCATAAGGAGTCTGAAATAAAGTGAGATGATACGTTGATACATGAATAAATAAATAAATAAATATTTTTTGTAAAATTAATTACTTAATTTCATTAAAAAGGTTGTAACAAAGAAGGAAAAACATGTTTGTTTTCTCACCGGTGGGCCTTTAAAGATGACAGGAGGCGACTGCCAGGAGACGCTGATGGTGCTCTGGCTGTGGGGCAGCTCGGAGGACACGCTGGGAATGTTGACGGGAGCAGTGGCCTGAAAACAGAACACACTCTTAGAGACCAAGCTGACCGTGCAGCAGATAAAGAGAGCGTCTCATACACCCATGAAGCTTCACTGCAGGTCTGAAACGTCGCTGAAATCTCCGTCATAAAACTCAAAGACACGCCTCTCTGCTATCTGGCCTGGTATCTTGTTTCTCTGGTCTGAAACTCTTCTCTGGTATCCGTCCTGGTGGCTCACCACTGAAAACATTACGTGCCCACACTACGAGCCGAACTGCAGGAGCTAATCATGCCAAGTAAAGGTTGCCATAGGAACAGCCTCTCGCTAAATAACCATCCCCTGAGAGCTTTATTTCATTAGCACATTTTTGTTTGTCAACACCTGAAAATCGGCCAACACAAACAAACTCATAACATAAATAATGTTGCCTGGAGAAAGTTTAAAGAAGTTACAGTCAATATTGCTACTATCTGCAAACACGACATCACAGATATAAACTGGATTTATTTTGTAATCACCATTCAAACATTTTAATACTATAAAATCATTAAGGAGAGCTGGCATATCTGTACTGGGCCAATATAGGCAGAAAATGTGGATCAGAAATCGGAAGGAAAAAAAAAGAATCCAATCTAATCCTGTAAAAAATAACATTTTTAATGAAAACATCTGATCAGATTTTGAGTATCAGCTGATATTTAAGGTTCTCATACTCGTCAGTATCAGAAAAAAAGCATATAAATGGCATATATGATTCTAATATGCTAGCAGTGTGCAGCTTATCTGCTCTAAAAATAAGTCATAAAAAGCTGTGAAAAATTAAGCCATTTCAAAGCCATGCTGGTGATGAGTATAGATATCAATGACTTTAAAATGGCCGAGAAACAAAATAACAGAATTAGAAAAATTGTAGTATATTTTTCTGTAATTTTAACACCAGCTGCTCTTTACATGTGGAAATTTGATTATGAATTGGCCAATAGAAATGCACCAAAATGACTTGAAATAAAATCTCTACATTAACTTACATCAAAAGCTTTTGCCTTCTCCTCTGAAGTCACCATTTTGGAGATGTTTTTTTTTTTTAACAGAGACGATGTTCTTTTTTTATTAAAGCTGCATTATGTATGATTTTTTGTTAAAATTGAAAGATGCTGCATTAGTAAGTTGACGCTGCACGTCACCCTTTAAAACCTGAAACACTAATGTAATAGTCAGACGTGTTGGGTTGAATTTCTCAAGGTCAAAAGCACAACTGATGTTACAACATGTGTGCAATTACCCAATTCTACCAGAGAAGTCTGCGAATCCCTAATTCTGGGGCAGTCTGGAGGTCAGGGAACCAGCCCTGTGACCGGAAGGTCACTGGTTTGATCCCCTGAGCCGACAGTACGTGACTGAAGTGCCCCTGATTGAGACATCTAACCCCCCCAACTGCTCCCTGGGCACAGCGGATAGAACTGCCCACCGCTCCGGGCAAGTGTGCTCAAAGCCCCCTAGTGTGTATGTGGTTTTTCGCTACACAGATGGTATAGAATGTGGAGGTGAATTTCCCCGTTGTGGGACTAATAAGGGTTAACTAATCTTACACAGCGCAGCTTTAAATAACTTCTAATGTCCAGAATTGGAAACTGTAAATAAATAATCTACAAGTATCTTTTGGTGTCTATAATATCTCAATCTACACTGTATTACTGAATAAAACAACACAAAATATTAATATAATATGTGATTTGGGGTGTCGAATGGCAGAGCCTGAGCATAGAAGACAAGAGGTACCTGGTAGGCGTGGTCAGTGCGGATGTGGCACAGTGTGGATGGAGCTGATTGGCTGAGCGGACTGTGAATCATATACGACTCTGACTGTGCCATGTCGCTGGCCAGGGGGAAGACAGGGGGCGGTCCGGCAGTGGTGGGCGATGTGGGTGTGAGGTTGGAGAGCCCTTCAGACAGAGTGTCCATGTTCACCTCAATCTCTGAGTAGTAGAAATCCTCCTCACCATCACTGTAGTCGGAATCTCCGTTCCGCCTGCGCAGGTGATGCAGAGGTTAGTTCTAGGGCTGTACAATAGTCTGTTAACTGTATCATCATCATGATACCAGCCTTGGCAATGACATCGCAGAGGCTTGCATAATGTAAATAAGCCCTTGAATTAATCAGGGTCAGTTTCCCAGACACAGATAAAATCTAGTCCTGGACTACACGACATTCTCAATGGGGATTCTCCACTGGAAGGGAATGTAGGGAAGGACTGGACATAATCCTCGTCCGGGAAACCGACCCTAATTATTTTGTTGTGTGCTGTGACCAATTCTCACACGTCCCTGCTGAGTTTCTGTGGGTGTTTGGATGAATCACGGCATTTGCATCATCTGACAGATGCAGATAATTTTGTTCAAATAATGCAGATCAGTCTTCAACCGCATCATATTTAACCCTTAACTGGTAATATATGGTACGGTGAAAGTCTCAGGCAGCGATGAAATCAGTTTCAAACTACTTATTTTTGCACTTTTGCCAGTAAAAACACAACATAACATGCAGAATAAAAAACATAACAAGACTGTTTTGTTTTGAAATCAGTTATTAATATGTTGGTAGAATAATACAGTAAACATAACACAGGTTTGCTCCCTGACTTCTCACCACACTCTACTGCATGGATTTGTTCAGTTCCATCAGCTCCCCTTGACTTAATTTAACACAAGACTGATTAGATAAACTCGGTACTGGATGGTAGCTGTAAACACCTGGCTTCTTAAAGGTGAGGTCTGGAAAAGGTTTGGCTAAAACTCTCGCACACATCTAAACTATGTTCTGTTTCTTTTTGTATTTACTGTAATGTTAGTGTTCTAACTTCTAACTCAGAAACTTCAGCCAGTACATGACTAGAAAACACGGTTGTGCGTTCATTAAATAGTAATATTTTTAATTAAATTAATTTATTTCAAAACAATGGGCTCTAACTCACTCTGTGGCCATGAGGGGCAGGGATGCAGCCTCACTTCCTATCTAAAATACCAGGGTGTGGCTAAAATAAGGCTCCACCTATGGACTAAAACTTGAGTTTCAGTAGTGACATGAAAACGTGGGACAACATTTTTGACATCTTTTGACGAAAATCTCCCAACAGAAAGTACCCCATAAATATTGATGCTGCATTTATTTAGCTTATATCTCAATTAATGCATCGGGTTTAAACAGATCATAACATCCTCGTCTATATCTCAGATCTGTTTACTTTTTAAGGTGAGACTGCAGATTAAACTAATACTGTAGAATGGCCTAAGTTTTATGGAGCATGTTGTAATTGCAATACACCGCAGTAAAATCACAATACAGTGTTTATCCATTTTGTGCTGCCCTAGTCAGAATATTGATCGTCACTGCTTTCAAATTTTGAGGACCAAAATCCTGTCAATACCAACCGTATTAATACCGACAAAGTAAAGCTAAGGTGAAATCAGATCAAAACCTTTAAGTCATTTATTTGACAAAGTGGGAAATGCATGGCCTGCATCCTGGTTTTGACACATATAGCTAAACCGAGCTGCGTCAGCAGATACGCCTGCATTTCCTTTGAGAGGACAATATGCATGTGAGCGACTGATCAAGACGGCCTGCAAACTGAACTGAGCATATGTGCAGCACATGTGCGGTACTTTAACTGAGAACGCTTCCCGCAACAGGGCTGACCGAGTGTGTTTTTAATATAGCGTTTATAATGCAGCTCTATATCATTGCAGACAATTAGAGAGCAGAACGAAATGTCAAAAAAGGCTAAAATTAAGGTTTATATTCTCCTCCGTAAAAGACTGTTTGACTTAAAGAGTTAGAAGACTTTTACTGATTTACCTTGAAGATCTTCAAGCTTAATAATCAAAAAAATCATATTGATCATATTGTCTCTATGGCGGGAAAAGGCACTGCAATTTCTAGGAAATGCTCTGCGATCACCTGGAGTTCTGCCCAGTGGTTTGGTCAAGCACCGCTAAGAAATGTTTAAAAAAACTTAAAATTGTACAGAACAGAGCAGCCAGACTAGCTCAGCTTTGTTTAATGTGTGTGAAATGCATAAACGATTATCATGGCTGACTGTGGAGGCTAAACTGAAGTTCAGTCTTCTGCTATTTATGCACAATGTTATTAGAATTAATACACCAAAGTTTTTTATTTTGTAAAAAATTAGTATTTTCAGGTTTTTGTCATGAGTGAAATACACGTCAAGTGAGTTCTGGTCAGCTGGTGGTCCACAATCAAATAGGTCACTTGGGATGAGCTCCCTATTGACATCAAACAGATTCTAAGTAGATTTTCTTTTAAAAAGCTATTAAAACAATATTTGATGAACCTCACAGAGATGTTGTTGATATTTGGTCTAAGTGGTTATTGATTCTCTTGTTGAGTATTAGATATAATTCTTTTTTTTGTTTGTTTGTTTTTGTCTTGTTTATGATACAGGATGACTGTAAAGATGTTTGCTTTATTTTTATTGTAATTGCTCTTGTGTGGAACCAAAGAAGATTAGCAACCACTTTGTGGAAGTTAATGAGGATCCAAATAAAGAATAAAGAATAAAACTTTCACTGAACTGGATCAGAGAAACAAGCTGCTCAGTCTGTCAATATCTGGGCTTGTCACTATCCAGTCAGTCACCGGGGGGCAGTGGTGATCACACTGTAACTACATGTGCAGAGAGAGGAGGGAGAGCCAGGGTAGCAACAACAGGCTATAAAAACATACTGGCTACTACCATCAGAATGTTTTCTTACGCTTATCTAGCCTCTGCTTCCCTTAATAGAGATGTGTAAGCTGATAGCTCACTTAAGCTGCATTACAAAGTGACAAAGACAAACTGGGCCCAAAGGACTGCTCTGAATCTATTTCCTCCCACCAGCTGAGTGCAGCTATATTTTTACCTATGCGTGATGCATCTTGCTCATAATTACAGTGCTGCTGTAACAGTTATAGCAGAGGAAGCCCCCCATGGCACTGTAGGGTAACGGGTTATATTTGAACTGGAGTGTTTTTTAACAATGCAAAACCCTCATTAACAGCTCCCTCTCTGTGCTTCATCAGCTCACTGCCGGATACCTACCCCAGGTGCACGGTGCGGATGTGCCGCTGGATCCCTGAGGATGTGCTGAGGACCTTTTCACAGTTCTTCCACAAACACTTAAACATCACCTTCACAGAGTTCTGCAACACAGACAAATGAAAAGCAAAAGAAAGGTGTGAAAATGTGGACCTTAAACAGGAATTCCGCTCTCTATAATACTCACCCTGTGGTTTGTAGACATAATATTTATAGATGATCAGAATCACAGAACATTCTCAGTGTCGTATGCTACTTGTTAGCGACCTTTCCTTAGGTAACAAACTATTATTTCTCTCATAGACATACTATACTAGATATACTGTTTATTAGATGTTCAATTAATTATAGAAATATATTTTTATATAATCGTTAGTTTATACTGCGGCATCTACAAAGGTTATGGCACATTTAATATGTTATGTTTTATTTTTTTACGCCTGCAAATAAAGCACTGATTAACAAAACATGCAATTTGATCAGGGGTTTACTTTGGCCTCATAGCTACAATAGGCCCATAGTGCCAAAGCTTACAATCTGATGAATACAGACAGCCCACAGGTAAGAACCTGTGTGAGGTGCGTTCACACCCACTTCACCTTCCCACCCTTTTCTGCTCATTCTCATGCTTTCAGCCTCTTTCTGTATCGTTTTTAGGGCGTATATTAGAAAACTGCTTAGCCTGCATTTTCCATTTTATTCTGTGGAGTCACTGTAAGCGGCCAGGCGGCTGTAAAGACTGCAGAAATGACTGTCTGTGTCAGCTGCAGTTGAGAGGTGACGGTGTTTTGACTCAAAGCAGGAGAGATGCAAATAGTTTGGACAGCAGTTTTCACTGTAAAACCACTTCTCAGGTTCAGCATCACTGCAATCATCGTCCAACTTATGATTTTTAAAGCTGAACAGCTAAAAATCAGCTAATTTCCCCACTCATTAAAGAAGCAAGCCCAGGCCTGCACTGCTAGCGCCATAGCAAGTGAGTGGGTGTGTATCTGCGTCATCTTTCAACAGCAGCGAGAGAGAGAGAAAGGGAGTGAGAGAGAGAGAGAGAGAGGGAGAGAGAGAGAACTGGTTTCTATTGGTTGATCGAGTTAACCCTTTCCAGACACTTTCCTAGACTGTTAACTCAAAGAGGCCAAAGTGCTCATATTCCACTAAGCCCTTTTAAAGCTACAGGATCTCAGACAAATGAGCCATGGCTTAAATAAACATGTCTAATGCTGCCTGGGTTCTCATGTGAGGGGTGTGAAATTACATACCTACTTATGAATGAACTTACTACCACTTCTCTGCTAAACGAAATCCCTTTGTTCAACTTTTGTTGAATTTCCTCCTATTCATCAGGTTTCCTTTTCCATCCAGCATGGTTTATATTGGCTAAAAGACTGTGTTCATGCTTCGGTGCTTCGTGCACGCAGAGAAATAATAACCAAGTCTGCTCTCCACAAGCAAAGAAAGTATCTGCAGCGGGGGCCTAATCCATCAGACCTAAAGGAGAAAGTATTTATGCATCATAACTACTACCAATATTACAGCTGCCTGTAAAACAGAATATTATCTTACGATTGTAAATGGCTCACATCTCCCAGCACATGTTTGAAGTGGGACTGGGCAGCACACAAGGCCATTTTTCCACAGCATTAAGTAGCTTCTTTCGACTCATGTTGAGATGGATCTCCTGATTTACAGAAACACTCCAGAGGGAAAGACTGAAGCTGCCGTTGTAGACGCTAACGGTCTTTAACTCACACACTGGGTGGGGTTTTTCTGCAATATTTTACCTTAATTTATTACTATATATCTTCAGTTCTTGCTCTCCGTCTGTTACTGTCTGATCTTTACCCATACGGAAATAACAAAACAGATCCGGTACCTAATCAGTATTTCTATGAAAAGAAAACCCGCAGATCTGTGCTAGAGATAACAGCAGAAAAGGCTTGATCGAATCCCCCCAAAAAAGAAGCTGATCCGATTGTGTTAAAAATCTAGGCTGATATAACACAGAGCTGCGGCGAGGTAAAGCAAGTCAGGTTCTGAAATCAGTGACCACAAGATATTGTCACAAGATAAGAGCAAAGGTGGGATATATATACACACACACACACACACACACACACACACACACACACACACAAACACACACACACACACACACACACACACACACACACAAACACACACACATAGATATACACATATATATCGCTGCTATCGGAAGAAAAACCTTGTATCTCTTGGTGTTTTTCAGTTTTTGACATAATTTGAACACGCCTGTTACCCTTTACATTATGTGGAAATTTCATGATGACTTTTTGGTTCCTTCTCCAGCTTGGTAAAATAGGCAGTGGGGTGGTAGGAATATACTTTACCTTTATGGTCATTAATTCTGGACCATTTATTGTGGTCCATTTATCATGAAATATGTATATATATGTGTGTGTGTGTGTGTGTGTGTGTGTGTGTGTGTGTGTGTGTGTGTGTGTTTTCCATTAGATGTCTTATGTTATTCTTCTCAAAAACTCATTACGTCCAAAATTGGAACGCAACAAACACACATATTTCATTTCATAACATAATATCAGGGCTGTTCACTCAGTGCACACATGGAAAATCAGCTGCAAAAAACAGCTTGTTTTGAATTCATTGTTACTGTGATGTCACTCAAACCAACACATTTACGTATATTTTTCTATTGAGTCGGCAACTGTTCAGCCCCGCCCATTCATAGTGCTGTTATACTGTTATACAGAGAGTTTCAGCCTGGACTGCTTTTTGAATCAGTCACAATACATGGCAGCCAGTTAGAACAGAGGCCATTTACATACACCAGTCTTAAAGGCACAGTAACCAAAACAGCCTGTTAATTCTAAAGGATTAATAGAGGTCAGGTAAAATGAATTAGGACCGTTTTTGGTATATAAGACACAAATGGCATAATTGGACCTCAGGAGGGAAGGAAAACACAAGAAAGTCAGTAGGATATGGGCCTTTTACAGGATTGTGGGATTGTGTGATTTCTAATCTGTACTATGAACACATTGGATAGTATTCATATCAAAACTGTGAAATGTTTTAACACCATCTGAACATGTGAGCAACGCATTATAATGTGTGAACGTTTCATTATAAAGGGAACAACAGAAACGATTTAAAGTTACTCTGAATAGAAATGAATTACATCAACAAAAACTCAAAACAGAATTTATCTCTATTTCTCTCAAGTGACTATTTTGGAGATGAGTTTTTTGGATGTTTCTCACAGCACGCTGCCTCTGCTTTTCCCACACCTAGGCGATCAGGGGAGGAGAGCAAATAGCTTCCTGATATTGAAACCACATTGATGTCTTGGAAAGTTTCCACATACAGAAAAAAGAAAAGGAGAGTGAAGAGGAAAGAGAATGAAAACACTCCTTCCCTCTTAAAGGTGAGATGGCAACTGGAGCCTCTGTCACAGGGCCAAGAAAACAGCGGGGGCCTGTAAATCACTGCGTGTAAAAGCTTTTGGACAACCCCAGCGATTACTCTGTGACGGTGTGAGGCTGCTCACAGGTGTGCTTTAGTCTGTACCCATTAAGACTGTGGACACTTTCAGAGAAAGGACAGGGTAGAGCGTCTAACACTGGCTGTGTTTACATGCAAAGATTTTCTGCAATCTGATTAAACAGATTCAGATTACAGATTAAGACTGAGGGGTTTATTCTCACTCTACGCAATCTGATAAATCTCTGTTTACATGCTCACTACAAGTAATCAGATCCAAAATGACGCGCATGTGTGGAGAACCGTTCAGTGTAGACGTTACCATGACAACCAGCATCACGTGAGTCCAGTCAGAGTGAGATGAGCAGCAGTGAGCAGCACTTGTGTTTTTAACTGCTTTAAAATGATGTCAGACTCAGGAAAACGTCCTTCACATGTCCTTATTAAAGAAGGCCGAGAGGAAGACGTCGTGTTCTGAGACACATAAGCTGGACGTCCGTCCCACCGCCGTCTTTTAAAGATCAGAGCAGAAACTTCGTCTCCTCTGCAGACCAGTTTCTGCTCCGCCATGTTGAACGGTATAAACTCTCACTATGACGCGGCGAACATGATCAGAACGGACTTAAACTGTCTGATAGGGAATGTAATCAGATACAGGCGTTTACACGGATATTATTCTTCTATTTAATGGATTATTTACAGGATTACCCACCTCGATCAGTCGGATAGACACTGTACTCTGAATGGCCTCAATCTGACTAGACTATTCTGACTGAGCTATTAGTTGGATTATTAATGGATTATTAGGCTGCATGTAAACGTGGCTAATAAAGCTGAAACCTTTTGGATCCACCATTGGATGATGTGTGTTTTTGAGGATTTTTGAGTGTTCAGTGTCCACCTCCATTTCCTGTTTGATATAGTACAACTACAGTCAAATGCAAACGTCTAAAAAAACCCAGCCAAATCATGTTTTGTTGATTTTCTAAGTGAAAATATGTTAAAGGGCCCATATCTTACTTTTTTCTTGAGCAAGACACCTAACCGCCAACTGCTCCCCGGGCGCTGTGGATAGGACTGCAAGTGTGCTCACTGCCCCCTAGTGTGTGTGTTCACTAGTGTGCATGTGGGTGTTTCAATGGACGGATGGGTTAATTCCTCTGTGTGCGAACACAGTTGGTCAGTTGGCCAATGGTTCAATGGTTCTGGTTCAACGCCTTTAGGAGTGACCTCACTAAATGAGCTCTGTTCTCCCTGGCTGTCTATTAATGTGCCTGATCCAAACAGCAGTCCGGACTGAAACACTCTTTACAACCTCGGTGTGAGTGGGCGGGGCTAAACTGTTGAATAGGTAAATATATATGTAATTGCGTTGGTTTTTGTCTTCACAGATCAGGCAGTGCTGTAAAAAGAGCGGTGCTGTACTCATGCAAATCGGGCGGGGGATGCAGATCAGGTAGCGACATCCACGACTCAAGGCTCCTACCTTCCGTTTCCGGGGGATGGGGTCCTCAAACAGGAAGTGCGTGCTCTCGGCCTCCTCGATGTTGTCTTCGCCCTGTGAGGAGAGCAGGAAGCTCTTGCTGACGTCGTTGGAGAGGGGTGGGGACGGCGTGGAGGGCACAGACTGGTCGCTGGCGTCCCAGCTCCAGTTGCCACTGGTGGAGCTGCTGTAGCTGGCTGACAGGCTCTCCTTCCACCCCCTGCTGGCAGGCTCTGGAACTGCACCTGCATGCAGAGACCAGAAAACCTGTTAAACTGTCCACTCTCTTTGGGGAATTCTGATGCTTTTTTCATATTTTGCATTGAGTATAAACTGCAAAATGCCTCAGCTGCAGGGACGCTGACGTTTTCCGACTTTTCAAAGTAACATTATAGATTAGCATCTGTTTGCACTGATCACATTATAGGAACAGGGATCCAAACAGGATAAAGTAGGTTTATCAGGGAGGAAAAAGTGCAGATAACTAATTTGTGAAATTATATTTTTTGACGATTCCATTTCCCTCTGTAAAAACAGTGAGCATGCCTTAGCGAATCAGCGCGTATCAGTTTGTTTACACCAGAGGAATTCTGGAGAGGAGGAGGAGGGAACTTGCCAAGCAGATCGGGCTGACGCAATGAGTAACTCACCCCCCTAAATCTCAAATAAGCTGTTTTTAGTGAGATTTAGCAAGATGCCAGATTTCGAGATTAAAGGAAGAGGTCAGCCAAAAATCTAATTTACTCAATTGCCCCCTGATCCCAAAAGTACTTGCCTCAAACCTACAAAAATGGACAAAATTATGTTGCATAGTTAGAAATAGTAGCAGCAGACATCTCGAAACTTGAATTTGGTTAGTATTTTAGTCTGTTTTTATAGATGGTGATGGGTCATACGGTGTCAGAAACGATCATTTGGGCATAAGGTTCATATTAACTAGTGTGTTATAAACTTCCATCACTTGTTAGATACACAACTGTGCAAAAAACACAGTTCATTTATTTGATTTCCAGTCAAAATGTCCATTAAGCACAAGACTCAGAATCAGAAAACATATTTAACAGAAAATGACAAAGAATTCTTAGCAACTAGATATAATATATTTTTAGTATTTACTGTTTCGCCCTTTGCCTGTATGACTTGCTTTTCAGTCTTTCAGGGGTGTTTTTCCACACCTCCAAAGTTCAGTCTTAGAAATTGGTTGCATTTCCTGCTTCTCGTGATATAAATAATCCCAATTACATTCAAAGATGTTGAGGTCTGGACTCTGGGGTGGTCAGTCCATTGTTCTGAGAACAGTAGCAGCTTCGTTGTTAGATTTTTCTTATTCTTAGCCTATTTTCTTCTCTCAGGAACAGATTCTTGACAGCTACACATCCTCAGACCCAAAGTGCTGAGCTGTCTTTTCACAGTGACAGAAGCAGCTATGAATTTTTTTCAGATCTGAAGCAGGAGTGGAGGTTGATTTTCTCCTCTCTCTCTCGAAGATGAAGGCTTTAAGTGCTGTTTAGCTGATGGTGACAGTTTTTGTGGTCTGCCAGGTCTTGCATGGTTGTTGTGAGTCCCATATTATCTATGAGTTTTAATTATTATTTTCCTTAGACTTTGTCCTTCTTTATGCATGTGGATTCTCTTTTATCTGAAGGAGGGTGAGTGGT